AACTTCTGGAGGGAACTTCTGTTCCACTGATTAATTGTTCTAACTGTCAGGAAATTTCTCCTCAGTTCTAAGTTGCTTCTCTCCTTGATTAGTTTCCACCCATTGCTTCTTGTTCTACCCTCAGGTGCCTTGGAGAACAGGTTGACTCCCTCTTCTCTGTGGCAACCCCTGAGATATTGGAAGACTGCTATCACGTCTCCCCTAGCCCTTCTTTCTATTAAACTAGACATACCCAATTCCAGTTAGTCATTAAAACACGAGTAATTGTACTATAAAGCCCCCTGCTGTAACTCAAGAAAGGCCGCAGAGAGGATCAAAAATATTTTCCAATAGAATCGTATATAATTCTTGTTTTTAAGTTTGAATTTACAGGTAGTCCTCAACTTACAACCACAATTGAGCCCAAAATTTCTTTTTCTAAGTGTGACATTTGTGAAGTGAATTTGCCCCATTTTTAGACCATTCTTGCCACAGTTGTTAACTGAATCACTGCAATTGGTAAATTAGTAACATGGTTCTTAAGGGAAACTGGTTTCCCTATTGGCTTTGCTTGGCAGAAGGTCGCAAAAGGTCACATGGACCCTGCACCCTTGAACTGTCATAAACGTGAGTCAATTGCCAAGCACCTGAATTTTGATCACGTGACCATGGGGATGCTGTAACAGTCATAAGTGTGAAAAATGGTCATAAGTCACAACACAACTGCCAAGTAACCTTATTCTTCCATCCTCCATTTCAAGAAGCCTGATCATCAGTTCTTCCTTCAGCTTCGCAGGCTTGCAAGATGGGAATGGGAAACTGACTCCAAATACAGGTAGTCCTCGACTTACAACAGTTCATTAAGTGACAGTTCAAAGTTACAACGGCACCGAAAAAAGTGACATGATCATTTCCCAAACAACAGTTGGCAGCATCGCTATGGTCACATGATCAAAATTCAGATTCGTAGCAACTGATTCATATTTAAGACAGTTTCAGTGTTCTAGGATCATGTGATCACCATGTCAACTTGTAAAGCGTTTCCATGACTACTATCAAGTTGACATAGAAAAAGAAAGGAGAATTCCATGCATACCTTTGGCCAGAGTCAGGTCTCATATTCCTACAGCTGGCGTGTGAAATGTGCATGTTCATAGCTGGCCGCAGCACCTTGTTGGTGGATGTGATTTATGACACAGACAGAAGGGAGGGGATACAGGGGTAAAGTTCAAACGCAATTAAGCGGCAATCAGTTTCGGCTCCACAGAAGAACATGCCAAAATGTTGATCCTATTAAATGAATGGATTTCTTTTGAACTTTGTCTTGAGGCTCGGAAATTAATTAGGTCATCTTTTGGAAACTTCATACACCTTTTGTGACCTGACAAGCAAAGTCAATGGGGGAGTAAGATTCATGTACCAATTGGCTTGCTAACTTAACAACTACAGTGATTCACTTAACTGTAGCAAGAAAGTTTTAAAATGAGGGGGGGGCAATCTAATAAATCAATTTTAATGTTTTAAGGTAGGAGTGTCAAACTCCGGCCCGTGGGGTGCTTAGTTCTGGGCCACGGGGTTGCCCTGGAAACAGCGAAGGACCACTCTGCAGTGCCTCTGCCAGTGAAAACGAAGTTCTATTTTCATTGGCAGAGGGCTGTAGGATGCTGTCATGGCTGAAGAGAGGGCCCTGGGGGCACGCATGACCCACTCAAGCTCCGTTTTAGCTGGCAGAGGTCTGCAGGCCCTTACGATTGAAAACAGATCGGGAACCCGTTTTCACTGGCAAAGCTCTGAGGCCACCATAATTGCCCCCAACACGAGTGATGTCAAGCTGACCACGCCCACGCCAGCCCCCCAAGGTTCAAACATAACCCTGATGCAGCCCTCAGTGAAATTGAGTTTGACACCCCTGTTTTAAGGGATTCATGAACCAGTCAGTCAAGGAGCAATAGTTCTGAAAAATAAGTTTCAAGCTGGGGGCAGCAACTTTGAAAAGGGGCCTCCATCCAGTGTTAATACCACTTTATAATGCCTTGGTATAATGCTGTGAGCTTTTTGCATTGGCAATGCTTAACGGCACACAGAGAGCATGATCTTCTAATTTCTTTCTCCTCTTCTTTCCATCTTGACTTATTGTTCTGGCCTTTGATGTCAGCTTTGAAATTGCCTACTGTGATGTGCTGCTGCTGCTATGTGCGCATGTGTGTGTGTGTGTTCTCTTTCTAGTTGTTCTGAGTTGGCTTCCCCAAAAGGCAAGAAGCAATGTCCTGGTCCGGACAAACCCCCTTTTATTAAACGAATGTGAATTCCTCTCATTCACATTCAGCAAGGCCTGGCAAACAGTCATTCAAAGGAATATTTATGACTACAGACCTTATCTAGTTTGGAAAGCTGTCATGTAAATATTTTCCAAGTGGGGTGCTGTGCAAGGAAAGCCTGGGCACAGAGTCTCTGAGATTCATGGAGAGATCTTCACATTCCTGAAATGAACGACCGACCGAATTGTTTCCTGCAAAAGTCCACTCCCCTTTCGCTCTGCTTTTATTTCCTATGGGAGGGGCCTATCACCTTCCACCTGTGACT